TTATATTATGGGGCAAGAATGTAAGCGAATTTATTTGAGACAATATTGATCCAAAGTTAAGGACAAGGAAAGAATGCCCATAGTCAAAAGGCAAGCTTCAAAATTTTTGCAATTTGTCAAGATGTGGAAATATGAAGAAAAAAGAAAAAAAGAAAAGAAAAAGAGAACAAAAGAAATGAAAGAAAAAAGATGAAAATGTATGTTCTGAGAAGTGAAAAAGACAAATGTCCTTAATAAGAAAATTGATCCTTTGTTTGATTACCCTTAAACATATTTTCGGGCCGTTAATCCTTTCTTTTCAGAACCCTAAACGTCAGCCCACATTACGTCCTTTTAAAAGTCTATTTTGGTTAAGCGTGGATATTTAAATTGAAAAGTTTTTCTTTAAGAAATCACCATCATTTTTGGATTTTGGATGAATTTTGAGTTTTCAAATGCATGATGGAATAGAAAAAAAATAGAAAAAAGAAAAAAAAATTGAATGAAGCTCAAGGGTGAAACCTTGAAAATGCAATCAAAAGTAAGTTTGAAAGCTACTCAAGCAAGTTTATTAGAGAATGTGATTTTGAAGGAACCCGTGAACAATAAAGACCTTTGAAATTTTCAAAAAGATAAACCAATCTGAAGATTTGTATTAAAGTTTTAGCATTTCTTTTTTTCTTTCTTAGAAATTTTGAGCCTATCATAATCAATCTTGATATTTGTTAAAATGCCTCATATCAAAAACCTAAAGGAGTGTCAAATGAATTGTGCTTTAAAAAGAATCATTTCTCAAATTTAAACTTTCATTTATGGGCCTAGATGAAGAAATATTGATAATTGAAATCTTCATATGCCAAGCCATTTCATCTTTTCGAAAAAACGAAGATTCAACTAATTCATTTTGGATAGTAATCACCAACTTTTAAGAGATCTAAATGTCATATGTCGATACATTTTGGTCAAAGTGATATGTAGGGTTAATCATTTTGGAAAAACTAAGATTTAGCTAATTCATTTTAGGTAGTAGTAATCACCAACTTTCAAAAGATCTAAATGTCATATGTTGATACATTTTAGTAATGGAAAAGTGATGTGGTGTATTTTTAGAGGCAAATAGTTGCCATTCTTTTGGGAGTTTTTGAACATTTTCAAATTTGAAGTGTTATATATATATAAATTTTGATGGATGGGAGAAAAATTATTTTCAAATCAATATGAAAAGAGTGACGTTTCTAAGACAACAAAAATGCTTTGTTTTGATAATTATTTTTGCGTTATTTGGTGCAAGTCCTTATTTTGATAATTTCATCTGCATAATGGCTTGGATATATGTGTGCATCATTTGAGGAATTTGTAAGTCGCATCATAACTGTTGGTCCATGCATTTGCATTATTTGGTGAATATTTAATCCATTGTTTTGAATATTGCATTTGTATCATTGTTTGTTTCTACCATGCATTTGTGTTATTTGGTGAGTATCTAAATCATCATGTGAACAATACATTTTTATCATGGTTGGGGTTGACATTCGCGTCATGTAGTGAATATTTGAATCATGGTATGGCATATGCATTGTTGTTTAGGACATGCATTTGCATCATTTGCATCATTTAGAAGGCATTATATCATGGTATTTATTACATACAAGATTCTAACTATGTTGGGAAAAAATATTTAACTTTTGAATCCTTGAAAAAGGAAGATCTTTTATGATGAAATTTTATTTTGACAAGGAAAACTTTACAAACTATTAAAGTTGTAGAGCCTTTGTTTAAAGGAGTTTTTTAAATAAAAATCTTTGAAATTTTTGATTTAAAACCCTAAAATTTTTTTGAATGAGAATCTTTGGATGTGAAGCCATAAAATTTTGAAAAATAACCTTTGAAACTTTGAATGTGAATCTCTAATTTTTTTAAATGTGAGTCTTTGAAACTTTGGATGTGAATCTCTAAAAATTTTCGAAGGTAAATCTTTGAAATTTTGGATGAAAATTCCTAAAATTTTTCAAATGTGAATCTTTGAAATTTTGGTTGTGAAATGTTAAAGTTTTTTAATGTGAATTTTTTAAAATTTTCAATGTTAATTTCAAAGTTTTTAGAATAAAAATCTTTAACTTTTGAATGTGAATCTCTAAATTTTTTAAATATAAATTTCGGATGTGAATCTTTAAAGTTTTTGAATGAAAATCTTTAACTTTTAGGAATAAATCGCTAAAATTTTTTAATAAGAATCTTTGAATTCTTAAAGTGATCCTTAAAATTTTTTATGTGAATCCTTGAATTTTTTATATGAAACTTTAAATCTTTTGAATGCTAATCTTTGAATATTGTTTGTGAATTACAATTTGCAAATCTTTATAATGATGAAATTTTTTGCAAAACAGAAACTTTACAAACATGAAGTTCTTGCAAATCTGAAGTTTTTACAAACCTTAAATTCTTGCAAACTTGAAACTCTTGCGAATCTAAAACTCTTGCAAATCTAAAGTTCTTGCCTTAAATTCTTGCAAATCTTCCATTCTTGTGAATCTGAAAGTCTTGCAAATCTTTGAACTCTTATGCACTTGAAGTTCTTGTGAATCTGAAAATCTTGCAAATCTGAAAGTTTTACGAATCTGAAAGTAGGATGAATCTTTGAAATTTTATGACAAACCCTTCAATTTCCAAATTGTGAATCTTTGGATTTCTAAGTTGAAAGTTTTCAATTTTTCTAGACTTGAACAAAATGGACGAAGAGAACATTTTTCCAATTTTAAAATTGTGAAAACCTCTATTTTAGAAGACTGTTTTTCTCAAAGACATCTAAAGATGATCTTTAAATCATTTGGGCAAGATTCGTAAATCTTTTGAGCTGAATCTATTTTAGAGATTTATAAGATTTTCGAGCATAATCTCTAAACTCCTTAGGTAAAATTTGTAATCTTTCAAGCTAAATCTGTTTTAAAGTTAAGATTGATAAGACCTCCGAACATAATCTCTAAGTCCTTCAGGCAAGATTCATAAGTCTTACAAGCTAAATCTATTTTTAAGTTGAGATTTGTAAGACCTCCAGGTGTAATCTCTAAGTTTTTGGGCAAATTCATAAGTCTTCTGAGCTGAATCTATTTTAGAGTCGAGATTTGTAAAACCTCTAAGCATAATCTCTAATACTTTCAAACATAGTTTCTAAGTCCTCCGAGTATGATCTACAAGACCTCTGGGCATGATCTTTTAAAACATTCAAATCCCTTTTTTAAAGTTGTGTAACCTTTGTTTAAATGAGCATTTTTAAATGAATGATTTGTAAAACCTCCAGGCTTAATCTTCAAGTTTTTTGGATGCAATCTATAAGACCTCCGAACATGATTGTCAAAACCTTCAGGTGTTGCCTTTTAAAAAAAAAAAAAGTTATGTGCCTTCATTTTCAAAGTGCCTTTTGAAAAAAAAAAAAAGTTGAATAATTTGGGTTTCGACATAATGGGTATCTATATCTTTACATAATTCATGTTTCACAGAAACTGTGTAAAGATGGGCAGCTATAGATATCTTATTTAATCTGGGGCTCAAACCAATTGCATCCAGATCCAATCCAAGGCCAATTGTCCAATTTCTTACATTTTTTTATATCTTATTTGTCTTATTTATTTATTTATCCTTTTTATGTTTTAGTATTTTATTTATCTGGCTTTAAATTTTATCATAAATCATGTCAATGAAATTTGTAGAGTAATTTGAACACTAATCAAGGATGATCTCAGCAATTAGAACTATAACATGATCTCTTCAAATATTAAAAGAGGATTGAAAAGAAATCAAATCAGGAAATCAAAATTAGATTTAATTTGTGAAATTTTGAGGGATTCTGAAAATTAAGGAAAATCAAGATAATTTCAGAAATTAATTAAATCAATTTTGAAGAGAATAAAAAAAATCAATTCAGTGCATAATCAAATTTGCAATCATTTTCATTCAATGCAAATCCATAAGTGTGTCTCCATCTATTAAGGTAATTTTCATATTTTGTTTATTTATATATTTATTGATATTTTACTTTTTTTATGTATGTTTAAAATAAAATTTAAATATTGTGAGTTTTAAATTATGAATTTTTTTTATCTCATGGGTTTAGAAATTTTAAATTATGAATTCTACAAAACTATTTGAGAATTTCATAATGAAGTTTTTGAAAAAAAATAACAAAATTTTTAATTTTATCAAACTATTAGAGGATTTAAATATTGAATTAGGTTTTACCAAACTATTAGAGAGTTTAATGAATTTTTTAAAATAATAATAATAAAATGTTTAATTCTACCAAACTATTGGAAGATTTAAATCTTGAATTAAGTCTTATCAAAATATTGAAGGACTTAATGAATTTTTGAAAAAAAATAATAAAATTTTAAATCTTATCAAACTTTTGGAGGATTTAAATATTGAATTAGATCTTATCAAACTATTGGAAAGTTTAATGAATTTTCTTAAAATAAATTTCATATATAATTTTACAATAAAATCTCATCAAACTATTAGAAAATCTGCATCAAAATAAATCTTATCAAACTATTAAAAAATATTATTTATTATTTCTTTAAATAAAATTTAAATGAATCATATGATAGAGTCTTTTCAAAGTTGGATAATAATCTCCATGAATACTCCTAGGGTAAGAAATTATCTTAACTTACTACCAAATTATTAGAGTAATTTTAAGATTAATTTTTAATAATTAAATTATTTAATAAATTATAAAGATGTTTTTAGGCTTGGATAACTTGAAATCTAACTAGTACCATTCTTTGAATCTACGCTGTGAGGATGTTATAATTTTTCTCAGGCATAATCATATTCCTGAACTTAAATTTAGTTTTATAGAATAGAATTTACCATTTAAAGATACCTAAGTAAAGTTTGAAATTTCTCTTTAAAATTGGATAAATTCGGTTAAGTGATCAATCATTTCTAAAAAAAATATTGATAGCAACTCATTTAATCTATATTTAATGATAAGTCCATGAATATATGACACTCGTTTTATAACCAAGTATTCTTGTTCTCTACCAAGTCGTCTCTAGACCCCCCTGTCTCCGAAAATGGATCCCCCTTTGTTGCCATCCAAGTTTTGGTCGTTCATGATCATAAGCTTGATCCTGATTCTTACCCCACAATCTGTGTTTGCCGATGATGGGAATATTTCGAGCTGCAGTGCACGATTCTCCTGTGGAAACATTCAGAAGATCGGTTATCCTTTCTGGGGATTGGATCGGCCAGAAAGTTGTGGCTACCCTGGCTTCAGGCTGAATTGCAGTCAAAATATTTCAAAGATTACAATCAATTCAGCTACTTACAAAGTCCTGAATATATATAATTCTACACAAGTCCTTCAAGTAGCTAGAGTTAGTTATTCTGACAGTATTTGTCCAACTTATCTCATCAACTCCACTTTTACTACCAGTCCCTTTGAAAACAACAGGGATACTCTAGAAATAAGGCTGTATTATGGTTGTCAGCCCCTTAAAGTTCCACGTCTAGAAAATCTACCGGGGATTTCACGTCAATTTAAATGCAAAATAAACACAACAAATGTCACAGGTTATTATGTGACAAGGAAGATCACAGAAACGTACTTTGGGAGCTTTGCCACTTTAATAAGCACATCCTTAGCGTCTTGCAACAACAGTGTCATTATTCCAGTCCTGTATTCAGAAGTTCAGTTGTTGGAGGCAAATCGAGATTCAGATACTCTGCAAGAAGCGCTTAAAGCTGGTTTTGTGCTTCACTGGTCTGCAAACGATACTTTCTGTAACCCATGTCTGTACTCTGGTGGGCAGTGTGGGCACAACCTCAACTCCGGTGGATTTGTATGTTACTGTTCAGATGGATCTCATCCCGACGTTTGTCCCTCAAGCTCCCCAGGTACATCTTCCTTCTTATACGTTATGCCTGTTAAAATCTCTTGCTTCTTAAGTCGTAGGATGTTATTTCAAGGAGTCATTGACCAGCTTTTAGTCTAATTCCAGGCTAGAAATTGGAAAACAAATTTGATTAGGATATCGATCTTCTTTCATTCGACCAAATATTTAAGTTTTTGAGTCGATATAGTATTTGTTCCGATTCTATGTTCATTAAGCAGGGATGATAGCTAGACTTTAGTAATATTAAGTCGTCCATTAGCCCGCCATGATAGGAAAAAGGGACGAGCCTTCCTCTTGTTTCAAGTATTGACTCGTTCCCGACTGGAACTTGGGAATTGGGATGGATTTTTATTCATTTCTTCACCAGTAGTGCCGAGTCCACCGACAACCGAATTGGTCCAAATTTCACAAGACCGAAACTATATATGGAGAAATTTTTTGATCAATTATAAAGTGACACTTTTCCTTTGAAAATTTTCATTTAGCTATATTTAGTTATGAATTAAATTTTTAATTTGTTGCTAAATAAAGGAATTGAAGATTTATCAAAATCACTAGTGGCAAATCAAGATGAAACATGTTTCTTCAATCAAATTTCAAAGACTCATAATCCAAATTAATCAGAATTTTCTTACAAATCATCAATTTTTATTTTTAGATAAATCAAAATAATTTAGAGATAATACATGCATCATCAAATCAAATTTCATCTATCAGTCATTTTTTTTTATTTCTAATTAAATTAAAAAATTTAAAGATAAAATAAGCATCTCCTATCAATATAAATATAGAGCTCCTCTAACCAATTTGACACGTAATTTTTCAAAAAAGAAAATCTTAAGAAAAATGTGAAAAAAGAATATTTGAATAAATAAAGTCTCTGAATTCTCACAAGTTTAAGAATAAAGATTAAGAACACAATTAAGAAAAATAAAACATGAAGACAAATGGGAAAGATAAGATATGAACAATCAAAATCTCTAGAAGTCCTACAAGTTTAAGAATGAAGATTAAGAACATAACTAAAGAAAAGAAAACCTAAAGACAAATGGTGTAGAAAATATTTGAAAAATCAAAACCTCCAAAGTTCTAACAAATAAATTCCATAAAACAATTGGGGGAAGAGAAGATTTGAAAAATCAAAGTCTCTAAAGCTACCACAACTTCAAGAAGGAAGATCTGAAGAACAAAGTCTCAAGAGTTCTAACAAACAAATTAAATAAGATAACTGAGTGAAGAGAATATCTGAATAATCAAAGTCTATAGAAATCCAACAAACAAATCCAAGAAAACAATCAGGGGAAGTGAAGATCAAAAGAACCAAAGTCTTTAGAGTTCCCATAAGTTAAAGAATGAAAATCTAAAGAACAAACTCTTTAGAATTTCAACAAACAAATCCAAGTAGAAAGATCTAAAGATTAAAGCCTGAAGATCTAAAAAAATCCGTAAATTGATATCAAATTCTAAAAATCCCTAAATTGGGATCAAATTTCAAGAACTTTAAATTGGGACGAAATACCAAAAATCATTCAATTAAAACCAAATTTCAAGAATCCTTAAATTGGGACTAAGTTCCAAGATTTTTAAGACTTCTTAAATTTTGGGATCAAATTTTAAGAATTTCAAGGATTCCTAAATTTTAGGTTCAAATTTTTTCAATTTAAGAATAAGTTATGAAGATCCTTGCAATGAATTTCTACTAAAAGAAAGAATCAGAAGATTTTTGTTTTTTTTAAGAATTTCCAAAGTTTGTAATTTCAAGTTTGATAAACAAAATTATTATTTGTCTCTAATTTTTCCTATCTTATTTTTTACTTAAAATTTGTGTGTACAAATTTCTAGCAAGTTGTTGGGACAATTTTTGCCTTTCATTTCTTTTCTTCAAAGTTCAAGTTTTCAAGCTACAATCGCACAAAAAAAAACTATGCTAACAAGCAAGCCTTAAGCCTATTCAAGCAAATCATGCAGTCTTCTCTAAATCATAATCAAGCACTTATGTTTATGTTGATCCTTATGAAACTGAAAGAAAGACAAAAGTTCTTGAGAAAAAAATGCATGCTTGAACTCTTTCAATGCCTAACCAAAATACATTCTAGGATATTTTCTTCAAATCAAGGTTTAAAAGAATCTTCTACTAGGCAACTTACTTCTTCTTATTGATCAAGTGTAAGTCAGTTGATTATCATTTAAAGAACAAAATAACAAATCAAGCAACATTTATGTTTCATCATCTTCTTACAAAGAAAATTTTGGGTTAGTGACTATTATGACAACTAGCACAACTTTTTTGGAAAAACAAGTTGCATATTTTGTAAAATTTGTGGAATCCCTTGCATCAAGCAGTAATGAAAAAGATAACTAGATTACCTTCATAATGGATAAGATTAATAATCTTAATGTAAATCAACCAATAGCTTGATATGAACAAATCATCACTTAGTCCTTCAAGATGATGATGGGAATTCCAGCATGTAAGTTGCCAAAGATTCTCAACAAAAGCTCAACAAAGTGATAATTGCTAGCAATTTAAAAATCTTATGAAAGAAGCAACTAAGGATAAAATTGATAGTGTCACTCAACCTTCATACACATATGATGAGTCATATTTTTAAAGGATTGATCATTTAACCTCTAAAGTTTCAAAAGTTTGATGATAGAGAAAATATATGCCAACATGTTGCTCACATTGTGAAAACTTGCAATAATGCTAGCACTAATGGAGATATTCTAGTGAAGTAATTTGTTTGCTCTATAAAAGGCGATGCCTTGCCTTTTATTAATACATAAATTTTGAGCCTGGGACAATCAACAACTAGAAACAATTTTAACATGAATTTCTCATTCGATTTTATAGTACTCACTGCATAGTTAGCATGATTAAGCTCGCAAGCTCACGACAATCAAAAGACGAACCTATCATTGATTATATCTATATAGATGAAAAAATTTGAGCCTTAATTACAAAGAATGATTATCTAAGTCTTCTACCCTTGATATCTTTTAATTTGTCAATCCTAAGACTTTTGAAGGTGCACATGATATGAAGCTAAGTATGATAATTGTTAGAGGTTAAAGCCCTCACATGCAAAAGTTAAAAAAAAAAAAAAAAAAAGATAATCACAAATGTGGCAAAACTTTTACTGACAATGGAAAAAGCAAATTGCCTATAACTACGAATACTAAATCTCTTAAGATATCTTCCAATTTAAAGAAATCTCATAGCCAAAACTTGCTTCTTCTTAAGATAAAGGTAAATGTATAACCATTTTGAAAGAAAGACAAGAAAAAGAGTATCATTTATCTAATTTAGATGTTTTAAACATACTTGAAAAACTTTTGAAGTCCAAGCCAATCTAGTTGTTAGAAATCAAAAAGCCTAAGAAAGCTAATAGAGTAAATGAACCTAACTATTGCAAGTACCAGTGCTTTATTAATCACTTAGTGGAGAAGTTCTTTGTTCTAAAAGACAAAATCTTGCAACTCCATAAGGATGGAAAATTGAGTTTGAGGAAGAAATTGTGAGTTTAATTTTGGTGTCAATAAGTATGATTTCTCAATGTAATATGTTGGGTATGATGATAAATTTTGGTTCTTTTGATTATATATTACTAGTTTCAAGTGCAAGTAAAGCAATTGTTATTTAAGTGAATAGGGGCAATAATCATCCTCAAACTGAAGCTTAAGATAATGAAGGATGAATCCTAGTTACACATAAAATGTTGGGATTTACCTTGAATCTCAGAATCCCACATCGAAAGTTAAGTAAGTTTGAATTTGTCTTGTATCCCACATCGGGAGTTTAGTAAAGGTATAAAGGGTTTCACCCCTATAAATAAGATGTTTTGGTTTTAGTTTAGTAACCTCAGAGAGTTAGACACCAAGAGAATAGCTAAGTGAGTAGGCTATTAAAGGGTGTAATTGGGTTTTGGGTTAAGTTTTGAGTAAGGAGTTTTAGGAGACTTTTCTCATTCTAAAAGTCTCACAATTGTAAAGATTTATTTGATAGTGGATTAGATTTGGAGTAGGCCATTTTGAGTTGGGCTGAACCAAATATATTTGTGTTTTCTTATTCTTGATTTGAGCTTGTTATTTTGTGTGTGGTTGCTGCGCGTGGGTATTGTTGTTTTTCCCAACAAGTGGTATCAGAGCGAGGTTCGAGGTTCGTGGGTCCAAGAGATCGTGAAGCAGTGTTTGAAGATGTCTGAAGAAGGTATGTCTGGTATGTCTATGTCTAAGTTTGAGATTCCGTTATTTGATGGAAAGAGTAATTTTATGTTATGGCAAAGTACGATTCAAGATCTGTTAGTACAACAAGGATTGGATCAGGCATTGGAGAGTAGTAAGCCTGAAGGAATGTCTGATGCTAATTGGAATAGGATTCAGAAGAAGGCTGTTAGTACTATTAGATTGGCGTTAGCTCCAGAAGTAAAGTACAGTGTGTTGACTGAGAGTACTCCGAAGAGTTTGTGGGATAAGCTTGAAGGTATTTATGCTTCGAAGTCATTGACTAATAGATTATGTTTGAAGATGGATCTGTATTCTCTGAAGATGGAAGAAGGTATGAGTCTTCATAATCACCTGAATGAATTTAATAAATTGGTTTCTCAATTGTTAGCGATTTCTGTTGATGAGTTAAAAGATGAAGAGAAGGCTTTAATTTTGCTGTCATCTTTGCCCAAGTCTTATAGGCCTTTAGTTCAGACTGTGTTGGTAGGCAGGTCTACTTTAAAGTTGGATGATGTGACTGCCCTATTGCGTGAGAATGAAAGGTTTATGAGAGCTCAGAACTCATCACCTGGGGAGAGTACACTAGCTGTAGAGGGTTTTGATCGAGGAAGGACTCAAAAGAGGATTGATGGATCGAGATGGAGATCCAAGTCAAGAGACAGAGATTACAGTGATGTAGAATGTTATTATTGTGGTAAGAAGGGACATATCCAAGTGCGCTGTAGGAAGCTGAGAAGGGATATGGCTGCTTTCAAAAGGGCGAATGATGAGAAGAAATCAGATGAAGAAAAGAGTGATACTGCTGCTATTTTGTCTGATGATGATGATGTTGTTTTGACAACTTGTGTGGATGAGACCCAGACTTTGAAAAGTGACAAAGGTTGGGTTTTAGATTCAGCTGCTACAGTTCATGTTTGCAATGATAGGAGCTGCTTTGTGGAGTTGAATGAGAATGAAAAGTATGGGGATATTGTGGTTGCTAACAAAGAAAATGTGCAGATTCAAGGCATTGGGAGTGTTCGCCTTAAATCTCACAATGGTGTTATTTAGGACACTTCGTCATGTAAGGTATGTACCAAATTGTCACTACAATTTGATTGCTTTGGGTGAGTTAGCTTCTCGAGGGTAACATATTATGGTAGTAATGATTGGTTGAAAGTGTACAAGAATGGTAGTGTGATTCTACAAGGGAATAGGGTCAATCACTTGTACATGTTTGATGGAGGCTCAGTTGCTGGAATGCCTGTGATGAAAGAAAAGAAGAAAGGTAAGCATGTTAGCTTTGCAGATACTGTTGAAGTGTTTGGAGATTCAAGTCAAGGGAGGATTTGTTGGGATTTGCCTTGAATCTCAGAATCCCACATCGAAAGTTAAGTAAGTTTGAATTTGTCTTGTATCCCACATCGGGAGTTTAGTAAAGGTATAAAGGGTTTCACCCCTATAAATAAGATGTTTTGGTTTTAGTTTAGTAACCTCAGAGAGTTAGACACCAAGAGAATAGCTAAGTGAGTAGGCTATTAAAGGGTGTAATTGGGTTTTGGGTTAAGTTTTGAGTAAGGAGTTTTATGAGACTTTTTTCATTCTAAAAGTCTCACAATTGTAAAGATTTATTTGATAGTGGATTAGATTTGGAGTAGGCCATTTTGAGTTGGGCTGAACCAAATATATTTGTGTTTTCTTATTCTTGATTTGAGCTTGTTATTTTGTGTGTGGTTGCTGCGCGTGGGTATTGTTGTTTTTCCCAACATAAAAAAGGTCGAAAAGGAATCCATAAAGGCCTGTATGAGTGATAAGAAGAGCCCAGATAATCAAACAATCAGCTAAGAAGCCAACATCAAAGGTGATTCAAACAAAAACAATTTCATCTAAACACGAAAAATCAATGGGACAAATTTCAAGAAGACCAATCATTTTCAATGAATGCATGCCAATTCAGTTCAAGAAAATAAAGTTTGGTTTCCATGACTTGTTACCATGTTGGTGGAAAATAAGAGGCTGAAAATGAAGATAAGAATATTGATAAAGTAGCATTTAAAGCTAGTTATTCTTGTGCTACAAAGATTGATTTTTATGAAGATTTGTTGTTAGGATCTACTTCTCATAATCGACCATTCTTTGTTGCTAGATATGCACATGAGTAAAAGATCAATCAAATCTTAGTAGATGATGGATTTGCTATCAACATCCCTCTTTTAAAGACAATGAAAAAACTTGGAGTTCCTTTAATTGAACTATCGCAAAATTGCTTGATGATCTAAGGATTAAATGAAAGGGGACAAAAAGCTCTTGAAAAAGTTAGGTTTTGATTGATTTGAGAAAATGTTTTTTATTTTCATTTTTTTATTTTGATTTTCTAGAAAAACAATTTTTGTTTTCTATCTTTTGTTTTCTAGAAAATGTATTTGGTCAACAAAAACAAAAATTGTTTTCTAAAAATATAAAATAAGAAAAAAAAGCAATTATGGAAATAATTATTATTAATGGCATTTAATTATAAATATATAATATATATTTATTAATTAATAACTTCCAAAAGTATTCAAATATGGGACCAACTTCTTAACTTACAAAACATAAGCAAAAAAGAAATCATATTCTTTGTTTTCGTAATTGAAAGCATATATGTTTTTTTTCATATTTAAGCTCATTTTCATTTTTGTTTTTAAAAAAATTATTTTCATTTTTTCATTACCAAAGAAATTTTCACTCTTGTTTTTCATTTTCCAAGAAAATAAAATGAAAAATGCTTCTGTTTTCTAAAACCAAACACTACATTAGATTTTAACTTTTCATTAGTTATATGGAATCAAATCCTTTATTCCATGTAATTGATGCTAAGACAACATAAAACATGTTGTTAAGGCAAACATTCATACTCCAAAGCACTTTGTTAATGTTCCAAATATCATAGAAATGAATTATTGTTGATTCTAAGCCATTTTCTACAATAAAGGCTCATTTTGGTGGTGCTAAGTTTCATTTGGTTCTGGCAAAAAAAAGTTTTATTTAAAAAATGCTTTTATAGAAGAAGTATTGCTCGAATAACAAAATAACAAGGTGGAACTGTCAAAACAAAAGAAAAAAAGATTAGTTCCCTTTACCAGCTATAAAGATGATGAAATTACTCAAGATTTAAAGAATTTGACTCTTTCACTTATTAGCTTGGAAGAATCAAATGCTTCTAAACCTCCTTTAAAAGGATTTGTAAGACAATCTTAAGGACCTCTTGTCGAACATTATGATCTACCTTCACATTGTGCTCAGGGCTTTGATCCTAATGCATCAAACTTGTTGTTAAGGCTTAATTCTAGCAATAAGATGTTACAAAATTGGTTCTCGAGACAATTAAGAAAAGATTGAAGAATTAAAATCTTCTCATAAGTTTAAGATGAAAAATCTAAAAAACAAAGTTTCTAAAGTTCCAACAAACAAATTCAAAGACAATTAAGGAAAAGAAGATTTGAAGATTCAAAGTTTCCAAAGCTGCCATAAGTTTAAAAAGGTATATATGAAGAACAAAGTTTTTAGAGTTCCAATAAACAATTCAGGAAGACAAATAAAGGAAGAGATAATCTGAAGAATTAAAATCTCCAAAACTCACACAAGTTCAAGAAGAAAAATCTAAAAAACAAAGTCTTTAAAATTTCAACAAACAAATCTAAAATGAAAGATATGAAAATCAAAGATTGAATATCCAAAAATCCCTAAATTGAGACTAAATTTAAAAAATCTCTAAATTAAGATCAAATTTTAAAAATTCCTAAATTGACATCAAAATTTAAGAATCCTTAAATTGGGATCAAATTTTAAAAACTCTAGATTGAGACCAAATTCAAGAATCTTTAGGGACCATATTTAAAAAATCTCTAATTTTGGATCAACTTTCAAAATTTTCAAAACTTCTTAAATTTTGAGATCAAATTTCAAGAATTTCAAGCAATCCTAAATTTTGGGTTAAATTTTATTAAATTAAGGAATAAGTGATGACCCTTAAGGTGAATATATGCTAAAAAAAAAAGAATAAGATGATTTTTCTTTATTTTAAAATTCTCAAAGATTGTAATTTACAATTATGATAAATTACAATTTTATTTATCTTCAATTTTTTCAGTTTTATTTTTACTTGAAATTTGCATCCTTCAACGTCAGCATTAAATCAATTACCTAGATTACGTTTTTTGCAATCCTTTGTATTCAATAATTGTATCAGGTACAGGTATCCTGAGTACCTATAGTCACTAGTATCTCAACTCCTAGAAGTAGGTTTTGTCAGATTAACATTCATCCATTTGGCGTAGTTATCGAAATTTTCAAAGAGAAATTGATTCTCCTCTACACAAATAAAAATTTTTTGTCATTAATAGAGTACCATTAGTTTTTCTTCTATTTATTGACAAACTTGACACTTGACAACTTCTCCTGTTGAATTTCTATCATTCCCACTACAAATTCCTTCCATAATCTTGCTAATCCCGATCGAAACCTCTTATTAAGAAACTTAGATTCCAATGGTAGATGCATATACATAATGTCTATCTCATCATGAAAAGGTTTTAATGTAAAAGTGTTTTTCATATCCAAATCTCTTCAAAATCGAGTGGTTTTAGTTATCAAAATTTTTCGACCAGAAACAGTTTCTATTTAAACATTTTGGCTTTTCACGATTATAATTCAGGAAATCACATACATTAGTGCTAATTATTTTTTCTTAATCTTTGTAGAAACAGGTGCCTCCAATTTGGAGCTTGGACTAATCATAGGTACGAAATAATATTTTTTTTATAATTATATATATATATAGGAGAAATTAGCCTGTATCAATTTAAAATTTTTTAATTTTATAAATTTTTTAATTATTAATTTTAATAAATTCAAAAAATAAAAATAAATTATTTTTTATTTATCTCTATTATTTTTTGAATCTATTAAAATTAATCACTAAAAAAATATAAAATTTTAATGGTAATTGAATTCTTAATTCATTTTAATATTTGAGGTTTTGAATAGAAAAAAAATTTTTGCTTATTAGTAGGAACACAAGAAAAGAAAACTAAAGACAACGGTAAATAAAACAAAACCCAGGCTATCTAACCGATTTTGCCTTTTTATAATCAACGGCCTATATCCGTTGCCAATGAACTAACAAGGTGTTATACAATCATTTTCTAATTATATTTTCTAATTTAATAAAGAAGAAGGAATACATAATTTTATAATAATAAGTCTTCTAATTATAGAAATAGGAGCAAGATCAACCTGTATAAAATATTTTAGTTTTATATCCTAACTTATAATTTATCCCTTTTAGCAATAGTTGTGTAATTTATTGGTAAGATGTTAAATTTTTAATTTTAATAATAAAAATTTAATTCATGATATTTTCAATTATAAAATAAATCTAATTTATGTCTTTTATCTAATCAACTGTTATGAGATAAAAGATTTAGTATGTTGTTATTTTTTGCAATCTAATTATTCCTACCTAGGTTATCTAACATTTTTGACATACATATACAGGCTTGACAGGGGCTGCAGCTTCAATTATAGGATTACTCTGCACAATATATTTCATTACTTATAGGAACAAGGGAGAATCAGCATCAAATGAAATTTCATGGACTGTCTGGCAGAGAAAGGTAAAGGATAAAGAAAGGATTGATGCATTCATTAGAAAACATTGTTCTCTAACTTCACTGCTATATTCACATTCAGACATCAAGAAAATTACGGATAAATTTGTAGATAAGTTAGGTCAGGGAGGATATGGCAGTGTATACAAAGGTAAATTGCCTGATGGACGACTTGTGGCAGTGAAAGTCCTGAGTGAATCTAAGGGGAATGGAGAGGAATTTATGAATGAAGTGGCTAGCATCAGTAGAACTTCTCATGTCAATATAGTGAGTCTACTAGGGTTTTGTTATGAAAAATCAAAAAGAGCTTTGATTTATGAATTTATGCCCAATGGATCATTGGATAAGTTCATATACTGCCAAGGATCTGACCAAAGTCGTCGACTAGAATGGAAAACTTTGTTTGACATTGCACTTGGAATTGCTAGAGGGCTAGAATACTTGCATCAGGGTTGTAACACGAGGATCCTGCATTTCGACATAAAACCTCACAATATCCTTTTAGATGAGAGCCTTTGTCCCAAGATCTCTGATTTTGGTCTGTCTAAATTATGTGAAAGAAAGGAGAGTATGGTTTCCATGACAGGAGCTAGAGGAACAATTGGATATATTGCTCCAGAAGTGGTTTCTAGAAACTTTGGAGTAGTTTCTTATAAATCTGATGTCTATAGCTATGGAATGATGGTCCTTGAAATGGTTGGAGGAAGAAAAAATATCGATGTTGGAGTGGCTCAAACCAGTGAAGTGTATTTTCCCTCATGGATTTACAAGCATCTAGATCAGGCTATGGACTTGAATCTTCATGGAGTGACAGATGAAGAGGAAGAAGAAATAACAAGAAAGTTGATTATAGTGAGCCTTTGGTGCATTCAATCTGATCCATCAGATCGACCATCAATGACCAAGGTGTTAGAAATGTTGCAAGGAAGCCTTCATTCATTGGAAATTCCACCGAGACCTTTTGTATCATCTCCTGTAAGATCCCCTAAATCTGCTTCCACAACATGATCATTGTAGGCCTAGTCTCAATTGAAAATTTTGTAATTGATTGCAAAGTTGAAAATGGCAATGTAAACTATGATTATGAGTTTACAATTGCAGTGAAAACTCATGCACTTAATTGTGATTTACAAGCACTGTCCTTTGTGCATTTTATGGCTTCACATAAAAACTACTTTCCCTTTTCCCCTAATCTAAAACCGATAGACTTTGGATTCATCTGTCGCTTGTTATCATTGCAATGACAAGTTGCTACTGTTTCATTTGATCAGTAGACAAAATACAAGTTCCCCTCTCTCTATTTTCATTTTGTTGATCATACCATTGATTTCCAGGCCAGGAGCATGACTTAGTGGGATCACTAAATTTCATCTATATATATAAAAGGTAATTTTAAAATTGATTCCATTTAATGATAGATTTGAGGTATAAGATTTTTTACTTCTTTTTTACGTCTTTTTATCCTAACTTAGGTAAAAATTGATAATGGTAAATCGGAACCATTTCTAGTGCCCTTATTAATTACAAGATTTGCCAACACAGAGCACTTTGTTGCTTCTGTTGAAGAACTTCTACTTGAGCACAGGTGTTCGTCTTGCCTTTTAAGCCTTGTATTGATTCAAAAATGAAACCTTCAAGCATAGAAGTAATTGGCAGACACACGTGCTACAAATGCCCTTTACCTTAGCTTCTTTCATCTCTACAAGTTATGGTATGCAATAAGACTGACTGAAATGCCTAAGATACAATAAAGTTTAGTTTGATATCACCTTAAGCTATTCCAGCCAACAGCTCTCCTTTGTATCGATCTGTAAATTTAATGTTAGTTCTCATTGAGACCTGCAATATATCCGAAACTTTGTAATAAAGTAACCTCTCCTCACCTAAACTTTTTTGTACCAAAGGGCAAAAAAAAAAAAACACTAACCATGTACCTAAGGTTTCGTTCAATAAGAAATACATAAATTTGGCTACTCAAGGCAGCCCTTTTTTATGCATAATTTTAATACTACTAAGGCCACTGCTCAGTAATGGATTCCTAATTAGTTGATTTTTTTCATGAGTCATTTGATATTTCAACCTGCCAGGTAATGTTTTTGAGAAATCTAAAGCCTGCTAAGAAAAGCAAGAAAAAGTTTATAAGATTCAACTAAGACAGATCAGTACATTATAGCAGAAACTGATAGAATACTTTCATTTAGCATTGGGGCTGTTGTTTTCACAGTAGAATTTATAATGTTAAGACTTTTCACTTAATTAGACTTTGGTTTCTGAAGATACATACAAAAAAATTATAACATTTATGAGAAAAGTCACACTCAATCCGATAACTTATGCTGGACTGTGATGCATTGCAACATTACAAAAGCAGAAGTAAAAAGTAAATTACCTCCTCAAGTGGATAGATGCGCATGCTTTATTTAAGATGCTCTTCCTGTAAGTAATCACCAGACTAAGCCTTTTTTTCTCCTAAACCTATCGACGCGGTCAGTACTCATTCGAGACTTCTCAGGCTTATTTGACTTCTTAGACTTCTCAAGTCGACTATCTAAACTGTTTCTGGAAACTTCTGGAAGGTCAGCACCCAATTCAAAAGTATCTGAAGTTCCACGATCAGATGGTTTGCTTTGATTGTCATTGTTTACTGCTGTTTTTTCAGAACCGTTTGAGGCTGCTTTTGATTTGTTTAGGGATAGTACAAATTTCTTCAGATGTCTAATGAATTCTGGATAGATCTCAAGATTGCAATGTCCTCCTCCATTCACCCATAATGGATCGTACTTATGCTGGCAAAGCTCCCAAAGCTGTTTACCATGGGAGCAATCAACAACTTCATCCGCTGTCCCCTGCCAAAGGAACAAAATGAGCTTCATCACTACTTCTAAATTAAGAATTAAAAAAAAAAAAAAGGTTTAGGGAGCATGAGCAAGTGAGCAGATGTGTTCAGTTGTCATAGTTAACCACAGTCACCACTCACCACAAACCTGAACATGGGGAAAAAAAACAAGAAACGAAAGCAAACTGCACTTGCGCTGTGTTCAAAGACCCACAAAAAAAAAATCTATTGATATATATATATATATATATCTTTTTCTGATTAAAAACACATATATCTACTTCTCTCTTTTTTAACAAAGTCTTAAATTCTCAAAACCTACATAACATATGGCACAATATGAAGTATTAAAGATAAGTTAATTCACTGGTACCTATGAAATAAAATGCATTACTTGTGGACAATGCTGTTAACTTCATTTAATTTCACATAAGAATCTCAATTAACCATTTACAGACAAAACAATAAACCAAATCCAGACTAATTTAGCTAAAACAAGTGAGAGGTTTAAATATTCATTTAGTACAAGTATTCTTATTGAGAATCCATGATCCATGATATTTTTGTCAAGGTTGAGTTTTCTTCAAACCAATCTTTCAAGATTTTCTTTCTTAGATTGTTTGGATAAAATTTTCAAGATAGAAATTTGTTCACAGTTTGGAACATCATATGGGTGCCTAATAATACCAAAACACCTACTTACCAGAAGAAACATGCAATACTAACGTTAATGTGTCAAATCAAAGCAGGCTGGAGAGAGAGAGAGAAGGGAGAAATTGGTGATGAAACAAGATGGGAAGGATAGATATTAAAACAATGGGAACAATACTTACGTGAATTACCAAAACTTGACAGTTCACTGCACCAATTTTGTCAATATTCTGAAAATTAGAATGGGGAAAAAAAACCAGTAATGAAGGTCACAGCCCATAAGATAAAACAAGAAATTTGAAATAGGGTGACTAACAAAGACTTACCTTATAAATGTCAAACCAGTATGTCTTCTTAACAGGGTACAACACTCTCATGCCAGACAAAATTGGGCTATGTAGAACCACACCTCTCAAGTTTGGCAAACGAGAAGCAAGATCGACAGTGGGTCCACTACCAACAGACTGACCATATAATATTAATTGTTCATCTTTAACTCCATACTGTTCCTTAAGGCACTTATATGCTGCATCTATGTCTGAATATGTATTACACTCAGTTGGCTGTTTCAAATAAAAGAAAGTGACTATTAGAATACAGGTTTTCAGCAAAGCAGTAAAATGTTTGTTCATTACATACAACAAATCAGAAATGACATGGCTGCATAGAAAATTCATAGATTTTGAAGCACATTGAACACAGCAAATTAATGAGAAGCCCCATAGCGTTTGCTAGAAACTAGTACATAAACTAGTACATAAAATAACAAAATAATAGGAAAAAAATAGAATGATGCAAACATTTGGATCAACATCAACCAATACAGCCAGTTATTATATGATATAAAATAAACTGCCGAACACTCCAAGCATTCTAAGAACTCAAATCTTGCATATTAAATGAACACTGTTCCATTAGTGGAAAAAGAAAAGGAAAGCACCGGCCAGAGATTATTGTATAATTATTTAAAATGTCCATTATGATAGTTAAATTACTACAGCCAATATGAAAAAGGGCAACTTTTGCTCCCAACATTAGCAAATAAGAAAACAGAAGCCAGGTGACCAACCTTCCCAGTTGATTGTCCATAGCCAGAGTAATCATACCTAGAAAAAGGAAAATGAGTGATATTAGGAACATTTTAGAAAAATAAATAAATATATGGAAAGGCTAGACTAAAAATAGCCATGTAGAGAAAAAGGATGATAAAATATTCTACTTTCAGGACTTCTAATTTTCTGTACAATCATTTGATGTGACTCTAGAAACATTGTCCAGAAGAATTTGACAGGAAAAGATTTCGAAATTTTTTTTTTTTTATTTTGGATAATACTTTCCCAAAAATTTTAAATGCTTAAGAACAGGAGAATGTTGTTCGTTAGTCTTTGGCTGGTTGAGATTCTGATGAAAGTTTCTTCATTTGTTTGAATGGCAGCTCAATCTTGCATCATAGCTCACAGAACTTTGGAAAGAGCTATATATATATAAGGATTGAAGACCCTGCAGTTCACCTTCTCCTACGAAGTCTCCACAGGAGAATAACATGCTCATATTATTTGGGGGTTCAATAGGTAATGCCAAGTCAGCACCTAATTCTAAGGCAAACTTTTCTAATTTTCGCTTAGAAATATTGTATCTGCAAGGAAGCACAGGCTCGTTTTTCTCTTCCTCATCATTTGTTGGCTTTTTTTGATATACTTATGTCAGCACCTTCATGAGGGTACTAAAGTATCACACTTCTCAAAAGGTAAACATATTACATCATGCATCCAAATTCAAGCCACACTGTGCTTGCAAACAGAAGGAAACCTCAACAGTTTGACATCAAGCAAATGCAATGTGGCCAAGAAAACACACACAGGAGACAATCATTTCCATAATAGGTTGCCAACTCTGATCTTTACAAGGATAAGAGAATGCATATCAGCATATGTCACAAACAAAATTGTGATTGTTAATAGATTGATACCATAAGGCAACAAACCTAAGCCCTAACTTAAAAGTACAGCAACAACAGCCCAAATGAACTAAACTGCCATTGGTAAACTTCTTACGAATCATTAATAGAAGTAAGAACAAAGCCTAAAATAACTTCCTTACAGATATGATTCATTATTAACTAGTCTGTAAGTGAAAAAATCTAACAAACAATGTTCCTTGCATTCATTGTACATTTGAATAACTACAATGATCGATATTTATCAGTTATCACTTTGCAGTGTGGTGATATTTAGTTGCTCACACTTTGCAGTCTGCTCAAACAACAAGCAGTCACGTTCTAACCAATCAACTGCACACATAGACCCAAACTTGTTGCATGGGATACTATCATTCGACTTAAAAGGAGAATGTTTCCTTCTCTTTTCTTTCACTTTATTCCTGTTATAATATATCATTATGTTTTTTTGTATATCTTTCAATCCTAATACAGACCTACATATGCCCATATAGTGACCCAAACAAATCTACCCCCATTTACCTTTTGTCTGCTGGTATGGTGAAAACCATGCTCTACATACTCATACTGCAGTTCAAGTTACTCAAATCCAACTTTTCCAAGTGAACATAGATAAGCAACAATTACAAGATCCTATCAACTTCAAGGAATAATGATAAACATAGCATAATAGTTGGAGAAGTGATAATGACACAGAGGAAAGGAACGAAAGCAGAAAAATTCACAAACATGGGAATTAAATGGAAACTAATCAAGAACATTTTTTAGCCACAATAATGCAAGAACTTTAGTAAACCTTATTGTGAAAAGAAGTCAAGATTTCATTGCTCCACAGTCGTAATAGGATACAGTAAATCAAACTTCCCTAATGTTATTCAAATGTATAAGACAAAAACTAGAAAAATTCAAAAGTTGAGAAATATCTCTTCAGTTGGGCATAATTCCTCTAGTGGAACAGAAGGCTATTATGATGGTGTGACCTATATTCTATGACAACAGAACATCCAATAAAAGAACAACACACCTACACAATCAACGTATCAAAATTTGGACATTCTAATCATTAGTCTACACATTTTTCATTTTCTCTCTTGATATTTGCCTGCATGTCAATGTCCTTGGGCAAAGCTTCACAGCACTGTTTGCAAAAAAGTATAATTCCATCACATCCAACTCCTCAACAACAAGTAACCATTACTAATATGGTTTAGGGTAAAAAGCATCCCTTTTACACTGCCTTAAGTAGGCGTGCTTGATCAGTAAAAAGCAAAAAGTCCCACAGCATTTCAATTAAGCCTCAAGAGCATCCACGCCCAGATAACACTGCTATCCTGCCCTCACAGTGCAGAAGCTGTACTAAAGAAAGGAACAAATAAAAAGAAACTTTAAGCCCTAAGTAACTTAACAAAAACGCCTTTACCAATAGTTCTTTCAAAGTCTTCTCTTTCTCCTTCTTTCTCTCTTTAGAAATGAAGCCAATTAAAGCAAAACCACTACCACCAATCTTACAACGTTGCAAATATCAAAATCAGCATAACTTTCACTAATTGCCAGCCTAAAATTTCTTTTCTTTCCCTAACATTCACCATGAAACTATTCTCAATCAGACAGCTGAATCTAAGAAAATTCTACTTCACAACTAATAGAGTAAATAAAACAGTCACAAACTTGCCTTTTCGATTTTTAAAAAAATTTCCAAAATTATCCAACAGTCATAAAACCCCAAAATACCAAGAAAATCACACCAAACCACACAAATCAAAACCCAACCATTTTTTTTTTTTTAACGAAAAAGGTGGTAGCGTAGGATAGGAAAAGGAATCGCAAATGCTGAGATATGAACTCGGACCCGCTAATGTCACTGCTAACTGCATGAACCAATTAAGTTAATCTTTGGATTACCGACCAACTACTTTCACCAAGCTAAAACAACTTTAATTCAAACAAAATAGCTAAAACCTAAGACTCCAACAAATATGTTTTAAATCGAAAGAATACTTCCTATTATGTAGTCCTAGACTCAGAGAAATTCAATACGTATAAAAAAAATATAAAGGCAAAAAAAATTACCCCATAAGATTGACTCGAAGGCGATTACACAACTCGACGAAAAGCTCAAACATTTGTCCCAAATCAGCGGCATTTCCATGAGAATACAAGATAGTAGCGGAAGCTTTCGGGTGCTTTATATGGACAGCGACGATGTCGTTTCCACGGCGCGTGCGAAGCTTCAAGACGTCGACGTCATCCCTCCTCGGTACCTCCGGTATGTAAAGCCGACCGCCGCATGACTCGTCTTCTACCACTCTGTAAGACGGCGGATTTGGCGGGAAGAACGCGAATTTCGCGGCGATCGACGACGTGACTCCTCCCATCTCCTTCTTAGCATCAGCAGATATTCCTCTTTCATTCAAATGACCAAAAAAGCTAAGCCGCCTCGAAACACCAACTCTCAATCTCCACCGTCCGATCTTCAGATCTTTCTTTTGTTTACATATGACAGAAAAATAAAAGAAACGAGAAAAAGAGGAAATTAAAAGGCAGAGAAGCGGCGCGTGAATTTGGGTAGGGAGGCGCGTGGGATGTTGAAGCAGCCGTGACGCAACAAAGTTGTAAGACGAGGAATCTCAACTCTCGTGTTTTTTTAACGTCTTGAACTTTGGGAACTCAGCTTAATGGGAATTGTCTTTTAACAAAGAGAATGGAAAAAAGCGCGTGGATTACAAAGCGTCGCCTGACGGCGACTTTGACAAATGATGTACACATGACATATATGTCTTTGTTTGTCTAGTTATTGTACGATTAGTTACATCTCAACTATTTTGGTGATGTACAAAAGGATGACATGGCTTTCCAAATTTTTGGGTTTATGGCAAATATTTCAATGTAAAATTATCTTATTTATTGTAGAGTTTTTATATTTCTAAAAAAGAATAGTTAATAACAATTTATTTGGGCTTGATTTTAAATAAAAATATATTTTTCATCTTATAAATAAAAAAATTTTCATTTCCTTTTTGGCATTTGAACATTTTTTAACTTATTTCATTGATATTTTATATATTTTATAAAATTAAATTTTTGTAAATATATATTTGAGAACCTCTTCAAATATTTTGAAATATATTTTTATGTTTTAATTATTAATATTTAAAACAAATAATCAAAGTTGAAAACATTTGAACACTAAATATCAAATTAAAACAATATTTACGAGACAAAGAGAATAATTAAAATAATCAAACCCAATCTGAATTGGATAATATTTTTTATTAAGCTTACACGAATCGATTTCGATAGTGGGTCTTTGAATTTAAAAAAAATAAATTTTTATATTACTTTTAATTTATTTAGATAAATTTAAAAATAAAATATTTTATTTCAGATGAAAATTTAAAAAATATATAAAATTGATATAGGTCGATAATTTGGATTTTAATTTATGACTAAAAACTGAATCCAATTAAATAGAGCTATTTACTATTCAAAAGAATATAATAAAAGAATTAATCAAATCAAATTGAATATTATGATTCAAATTGACTTTTTATTTTCTTATTTTTTATCAACTCTACAAAGGTGTTAGAAGTGTGACAAATAATGCATTAAATATATTTATAAAAATTAATTAACTAATTAATTAATATGCACATGTTATCCAATCTTTAAGTTTATATTGTCACTATCAATATATAAAATAATAATTTTTTTGAATTTTTTTTTGTTTGATTCATCGAGATCAAATTTGGTATTTTGATTGTAATAAGATTTATTTAAATGAAATTAATTATTATAATGATAAGATTAAAATTAACGATTAAATATATATTTGATACTAATATCACGATGATGATAAAAAAATAATTAAAAACGTTAGATTAAATTTTGTATAAAATAAAAATTATAAATTATTTGATATTTATGAAATTAATAGTTTTGTTAATAAATAATTAAAATTTAATAAAAAATGGTAGAGATATGTCCAATAATTTTTTAAAAAAAATAACACAAATCAATAATAATCTATAAGATAATAATCATTTTTATATAAAATAATAATTATTTTTTCTTCAAAATAAACTTATAAAATAAAATGAATGAAAAAAAGGCTTAAGTGGCACGACAATTCATTTGTATACTATAGTTGCAAAGGCAAAAAAATAATAATAATAAAATAAAAACTGAAGAATGAGTATTTTTCAAAAAAGACTACAATGAGAATGAAAAATCCAGTGGGATCCAAATGCAACTTATTTAGTGATTGTGTTTAAAAATAGCAAATGAATTTATTAAAAAAATTATTATTGAAAATAATAAGTAAATGCATACCGTAAATTGATTTTAATGTATTTTGCACTAAAATGTTTAGGATTTTTCATGGTAATAATCTTTGATAGTTTTTAATGATCTATCAAATGAAAAACCTTTTAACGAGAAAAATATATAAAGAAAAGATGAAAACAAATCTTTTAACATAAAAATAAAACAAAAAAGTCGTGCTACTTACCCTATTAACTTTATCTCAAATTTTTATACTCCTATCTTGACATATAATTATTAGATAAATTCAATGTGTAATCTACTAATTCATGTGTAAGTCAATTAATTCACAAATGAGATATTACAATCAAATTAATAATTATATTTTTGGTTAAAAATAATAATATTTATGAAAAAATTATAAAGATATCCATGAATAGGATATGGATAGGGTAGAGCCATCTCCATCTCCATCATCAAATTTTTATATTATACACATCATTATACATATATCCTATGAGTATTTTAAATTTACCCATATCTCTATCTCCATGGGTATTTAATAAATATAGATAATCTCAAAACTCATAGCTTTAAAAAAAAAAACTAAAACTAAAATTTTTGTTAGGATTTTTTTAATTTTCATCTTGAATTTTTAGATTTTTTTATAAATATATATTAATATTTTTTTTCAATAAAATATATTAATTTTAATTAATTTAAAATAATAATTTATATTATTTAATAAAAATTTATATACTAAATATATATAAATATCTATGTTGGGTATGAGTACGATATGAGTGTTATATTATACATCCCTATCTTCGTAGTCAATAAAAATTTAAAATCATACACATTCTCATCCTCATCTCCATATCTATAATGTAATACTCATCCTCATCCTTATTCAGATAAAAAATTAAGTTTTCTATTGGATAGGTAAAATTGATATTCCTAAAAAGTGATGAGCTAAATAATATTTTATTAAAAAATAAGACTTTGTTTTATAGTATTTTTGTTATTTATATTTTACTTTTGAAAGTAAAAAAAATATATTTAGATACAATAGCAAATAAAATTTTGAAAGATTGCACATAAAATATGTAATTTTAAGATGACAAAATGTATTGTTTTACTTTTATATAGATTAATTAGATTACAATAGGTATTGCATTTTTATCATTTGTCAATTTTAAATCAATTATAATAATATTGCTTTTTACCTATTTTTTCTTTATAACAAAATTTTAATATATAAATATATATATATATGGAGAGATCAATTTACACCAATATAAAAATAAAAAAAATTACATCTTTATTTAAATATTGATTTTAATAGATTTAAAGGATTAAAAAGATAAATAAAAATAAAAAATAATTTAATCTCATCTCTTAGATTTATTAAAATTAGTAGTTATAAAAAAGTATAAAATTTTTTAAATTAATAGTTATAAAAAAGTATAGAATTTTTTAATATAAGTTGATTATTCCCATATATATAAATATATTTTAAATAATTACCTAAATGAGCCTATTTGTCGTGTTAAATTAACAAAGTTATTTAAAAGGTCTAAATAGAAAAAATAACAAAAAATATATAAAAGGATCGCAATAACATTTTAATCCCTAAATTTCCCCGTAACTTCCCCACTCCCAAGAGAACGAAAAAAACAAAAAAAAAAAAAGGAGAAAGAAAAAGAGAACGAGGATTGGGAGAGAATTTGACTAAAATCTCCATCGGTCGAAGAACGTGGGAAGCTTGAAAGAGTGTCTTTGAATAGTATAAATAAATCAAATTACTTTGTATTTTAATAGAATTAGATCATATGTATAAATATGATGATTTATGTATTTATATAGTATAAAATATTAGAATTTATATTTTTATATTTTATTTTATATAAAAATTATATATTATAATTCGCATCAATATAAAATTATAAAATATAATTTTTTATTTTGCTAAATTTATATATAATTATTATTATAATTTTAAATCGTGTTATTTTTATATTTTTTATATCATATTCGTATCGTATCATCGTATCATATTTTAAATTATTAAATTTAATTCAATAAATATTTTAATATAATTTATTTATTATTTAATTGATTTTGGGTTTGAGTTCGGACTATTCAATTATCAAATATTTTAATATTAGATTTAAGAGATTTATAAATTTAATTTAATTTTTATTTTTTTTAATATATTTAATAATCGTATTATATTTTAAATTATTAAATATAATTAAGTGAATATTTTAATATAATTTATTTATTATTTAATTGATTTGAGTTTGAGTTCGAATTATTTAATTATCAAATATTTTAATATTAGATTAAGAGATTTATGAATTTAATTAAATTTTTATTTTTTAATATATTTAATATATATAAATAAATAATTAAAATATAATTTTTAATATTTATATTTATAATTTTAGTAAACTTAATCTAATTTTTTAAATCGAAATCAAATTGTTCAAATAAGTTATAAATTAAATTTAAATAAAAAATTAAATTAAATTAAATTTAAATCGGATTTCATTAAATTTATGAACTAAATCTAACTTGAGCTTAAAAATGAATGAATTAAACTAAATTCGATTATCTCTCTAGCCTCCACTGTGGTGGACGCCTCTTGCCAAACAAACGAGCTTCGGCGAAGGTGGAAGTCCCATTTGTGCGACGCTAAAATTCTCCACGACCTCAAACGAAGCCTAAATAAATAATTCAGAATAAGATAAAGCCACAGCACAGTTGACAAATGGAACACGTAAATTTTAACTACACAAACACGTAAGTGCGTTCAAGAACAAATTGTGCACAAGAAATTGGCTTCTTTTTTTTTTTTCAAATAAATCATTCTTTTTTATTTACTTATTATTCACCAACCTTCTGTTGGGTGGATGCGTGGGGCCTACCATCCTTCCCAAGTGAATGTGTTTTTCAAGTGCCACCGACGTGTAAAATAATATTGACATTTGGCAACTATTTAAACGTTTGGCACGCTGTGCTTACCCGTTCGAGCCATTCGTATGTTAAGCGGCTATCAATGGACAGAAGAAGTGTGCATGCGTTAGAAAAGAAAAAAACGAGAATTACAAAATATTTAGAACTAATATCATTTGAAAAAATCATATTTTGAATTATTATTATTAGATATTTTTACAGGTGGGGTTATGGAAAATGACTTTTCAAGCCCCACCTTGACCCATACACATATTTTATTATTAACTAATTTTTCATTAATTTTAATAAAAATATATGTTTTAAAATATTAATATAAAATTAGTTTATTTTTAAAATAACTTTAACTTTTTAAATTCAATCAGATTGAGTTTAGTCAAATCTTGGATAAATTTGAGTATATTACTTATTTTAATCCGATTAATTGAATTTAACCATAGAATAATCAGATTTGACTTTAATAAATTTTCGTAATTACTCTGATGATCAAAGCTACAACAACCAGCTTTGCTATCATCAATAGTTATTCTCCTCTTTCTTCGTATCGGAGAGAGATCATTATTGTCTATTAATTCGTGTGGTAAAGAATTTAATTTTTTTAACTAATT